ATTTTCAATAGCCGCAAAAAATCTACACAAAACGGAAATTATAATATCACGTCACATAAAACAAATTTATGGTTAAATTTATTGTTATTTGAAAATAAAATTAATTTCAGCGTTTTGATCCGAATTGTTTTAATGTTTCGAGGGGAAAATTTTAATTAAGGATCACCTGTCAAAATAAGCACGGCTGGCGACGTATTGAAACTCTTTTAAAAATAGCCGAGACTAATTCGTTTCTTTCACATGCTGGTTGTCATATAAGAAGAGAAAAAATATTTTTACTTTTAGAAATGTTATCTTAACACGCACGGATTATTTTCACACTGGGTCACTGAAACGTAAAGCTCGGGAACAAAAATTCAAATAAAACAGACTATTGATGTTTTTGTTTTCCATATTTCCCCATTTCCATTTTAAGAACGGAGAAAATTATCAAACGGTTCTCATATCCCGTTGCTTGATTAAACCTTTGTCAGTAAATCAGAGAGAATTGTTTACAACAAAAACAATTTTTCTATTATGTTTGTTTCAAACAAGTAAATACGGCTTTTGATACGTAATTTACTCGGGACTTAAATTAATTTCTACTCCACAAAAGAGAATTTAAATTATGCATTTTTTACCGACTTTATCAGATTTATAACCGAATCAAATTGCAACTGAACATTTAAATTGTTTTGTTAATTCATTGTGTATAGACAAAATCAATCAAATGGCCGGCCCTAAACACACAAATGGCCGCTAACATCCAATCACTAATTTATAATCAAGCCATTCTAACTAATTTAACTACGTAACAGACTAACAGATCTTTTATCTACAATTCTACATCAAATGACTCAATCTTAATCCAAAAAATAATGAATCAGTTCCAAGACACCCCAAATTGACAAAAAACAATCTCAAGTTGAACTATTTTTTCCGTAAACGATCAAAAAGTGCCCTAAAACTACTTGTAGAACATTTTACAGCTTTCACGCGATTTTTTATATAGTCAGTCCATTAATATTTTTTGATATTTTATTATAAAAAATGTTGGGTTTTCATTCGCTCAACAAATAAGTATTATAACTTTTAAAAACCAACACACATAAGAAACAAATTAATTTTACATCAAATTAAGATCTTTTAAAATTCCCCTTTGAAACTAAGTATTACTTGTAGCCTAAGTTAGTAAAATTTAAAAAAAATAATTTTACGACGTTTAACTACAAATAAATAATATTGCAAAATTGGCAAACTTTTTAACTTAAAAAATAAAAAATAACGTAAAACCTGTACTATTTATATCTATTTGTTTAAATTTTTGCAACTTTTTTTTCAACTTATTTTAACTCTGTTTCAACTTTACTTTCGTCGGTGCTTGAGTATGTTTTGATTTGAACGAGTTTTTGTTCGCAGGTGTCCATAACGCCACTCCCTTGCTTTAAGACCTCGCTGATGGTCTCGAAATAATAATATCTCTCGTAAAACGAGTCGCCAGTTTATTTTTAAACCGCTCATTAGTACTTTATTTGACAATTTCCTGAATACACTGCCAGCTGTGAAGTTTCAAATATAGCAAAGCCGGTAGCAATAATTAAAGGCAACAAACTCAGACGAGCGAAAGGGTATTTTCCCCTTTACGTCAACGGCAGATGCACTCCTAATAATTCCTCTATCCCTAAATTATGCACCTGACACTTTTAGAATTTTTCGTATAAATAACAAAAAAAGAGATTTAGTCGGCGAACAGGAAAAGTAAGAAAGAGGCATTCCTCAAACCTATCACACAATAGGGTCAATACAGCTTTATCTCGCGATGAATTGTTCAGTTTTGTAAAAACGACGAAACAAAGCCCGGCTTTTTCCTCCTCCTAGATTCAATTTGTGTATTGATTGTCGACCTACAATGTCAAACTTTTCGTAATACTACTGATGGCATCTGCTCCAAGTTCCAAAGTCAAAACAGATACCTGTCTTTACCCTCCACTTCTCGCGAGTAAACCGAGAATATTGGAATTTCTACACAATTTGACAAGACATCGCCAAAGAGCTGCATTTCGACGTTATTGCACCGACAACTGTAATAACAATTTATTGATCTTCGACACAAGTTTCAATCGAACGAAATTAGCGAAACGACGACACGATTCAACACTTTGTAAAACTGTTAGTGGGTCTTAAAATGTCATAAAGCGACCAGTTGTGGCTCTATAAATACTGACGTAATAAAAATACTTGCTGGAATCGTCTCGTGCTGACAGCTCGCGAGGACTATTTACGTCTTTATTATTGAACAAAACGGAAGTACATTAAAAATTCATTAGCGGATTCCCTATTTCAAGAATCTTCTTGTTTCATTTAAAAAACCTTTTTAAACTTTACCACAAAAACGGTACTTATCGACAAACCAACAACTTTCTTTAAATTATAAACAAGCAACAACTGCAAACTTTCCAAATGAAACGAAAAAGATCTTAATGGAAGTCGATTACATTCAATATTTTATTTCCTCAAAGCTGTCGAATAAATATGTAAAAGCGTTGATTAAAGAAAGTGCATTGACGAAACTTTGCTTGAATAAACCAAGTCCCGACAAAAAATTATGAGTGTAGCGCTAAAATTCGCCCTCACCCTAATCTTAATCAGATTAATCTTCCCCAAAACCCGTTTCATAAAAAGGGTAAAAAGTTCGTCGCGAAAAATTCGTCAATTTTAATCCCGGAATCGATTCAACGAGGGAAATAATAATTAATTCAGCCTACAGGACGACCCATAATTCGACAAACCAGCAAGCGTTTTATCTATTTTTCAGGCCTGGCAAGGAGTAAATCAAATTTTCTCTCCTTTAAAGCTTTACACAGTTCAACATAAAACATCAATAATAATTTATTAGACATATTTTTTTATGAAAGGCAAACTAAATAAGAAACAGAAAATGAGTAATAACTTAATATTTTTAGACAAATATTCAGCAAAAACTATAAATAATTGAGTTATCTTTTGTCAAATTTTAACAAAACATGCATGGAACAAGAAATACTATGAACTGGACAATAACCATTAATATTTTTTAGTTTGTTATTTCCCCTCAACGATATTTTTTCAAGTATAAGAAAATTATAAAATTTTTCTTATTTTTATACCTCAAATTTTTTCCTAATAGTTACTAGGTACCACCATATGTGTTTTTAGAATAATTCTAAATATACCCTGTATACAGGGTGCGCCAGAACTCGCGCCCCAGAGAAAAATGCCATATAAGGTAAGATACCAGGAACATGGAAAAAATGTTAAAAAATTTTATCTATAAAAATTTCGAAGTTATGAGGGTTTAAATTTTGCAATTTGACTCTATTTATTCCTGTTGGAAAAATAATTTTTCAAGTTTTTTTACTATAGGCTATTAAAAGAGGAAACAAGGAAACTGTATCCTAAATTGTAGCTCTGTTCAATGTTATTTGTGGGGTTTATTGGCAAAATTTTTGTACATTTACTAGATGATTATAAAAAATTATATATATAAAATCATCAGTATCATTAAATAGACATAAAAAATGTCAAATGTCAAAAAAATAAATGTCAAATTTTTTTGACAGATAGAATTTTTAAACATTTTTTTTCATGTTCCTGGTATCTTACCTTACTTGAAAATTTTCTCTGGGGCGCGAGTTCTGGCGCACCCTGTATTCAATTAATTTCACCCTGGTTTTAATTTCAGATAATTAAAAAGCCCCAAATTCGCCGTGAAATCGTGTTGAGATTGAGCCTCAATATTTCACTAATTAGGCAAAATGCATGGTTTATTTTCTACTACAACTATTTTTTTGCGTAAAATTTGCTCATTTCGTTAAGGAAACTAGGGCCTCGTTTCTCATTTAGCATATAATTAGGGCATATGAACCCCAGCATCAAAACTGTGGAGTCAATTAAGCGTTTTATCTTTGAGTGGCACATTTTACCTCCGCAAATGATTGCCACAAACATTTCTCGTCCATTTCTAAATAAATATGTTGCGACTTTGAAAAATAAGCGTCGATTTTGCGTGACACCATTCATCTATAACTCGTCAATAATTTCTGCTTTATGTCACATTTCTTATTTCATCTCTCCAAAACGAGTTGCTGATCTTTGACACTTCTTTCTAGGCACAAATTTTTCACTTTTTTCGATTCGGAGAGAAAATAAATCAAAACGTTACTCACATCTTTCTCGCTTCTGCAAAGATTAACAGCGAGGATGAAGTTCTACCATATTAAAAATTAAGACGCTCTTAAGTTAGAAAGCGCTTTTTTATTGCGAGAAAGTTTTGGCGAAAATGAAAAAGATACGATTTATTTCGATAGGGTTTGTTGCAGTGCCAACAATTTCGAAGAACGAATTAAAAAAAAACTTTTGCTAAATTTTTTTTACAGTTTCATTCATTTCTGATGGCCTTGTCCGATCTAATAAACCGCCATGTAAAAAATTGACCCCGTCTTTCAAATCTCAAGAAAACGTTTCAGCTTTACTGATTAAGAGAGCGTTTTGACAGAAGAAATAGATTTTATTTGAAATAACTAGTTGTTACGTGATATCCTTGATATGTGAAATATTTCAAAGCACTGGATCAATAGCAAGATATTAATTAACACATCAAAGTTGCATAAATAAAGACTAAACAAGACGGAGTGTTTAAAATTCATAAATTTGTATGCATATGCAAATGCAAAAAGTCATCCCAAATCCCCAACTTCATTATCCGAAACCAAAATTTGTATGCAACAGGTATCGATGATTAGAGTTCGATTTTCAATTTATTGAAAGAAGCTTCAATACACAAACCGAGACAATTGCTTTGGTCAAAACGTCATGCGATAATAACAAATTAGGACAATTTCTATGAAAAACATAATCTTGTTCCCAACTTTCATTAAACCACCCGTCAGTTCCTTAATTTCCTGCAATTTGTCCTGATAAAAGACCCACTTTTTGTAACAAACAATTGTAATTTTTTTAAGGGAGTGTGACCCACAACTAACCTCCAAATCCCTTCAGTCCATCCCTGATTCACAAACCACAGCACTGTAAAATTCGCGAAAAATATCCAAAGCTCGAATTTCCGGTTTCAGTAAACATATTCGCGCGCTTTTGCAGGAAAGAGTGACGTGTACACGACGCCGTCCTGCTGTAGACTGCAGCAGGATTTACACGATAGCTTGGCGTCCCCTCCACGACTCTAGTTTGAGCTTTAATCATGTTGGGATACTTTTGAATCGAGTGGATGTGTCATATTTCAGGAAAGAAAAAGTTTAACATAAAAAACGAAAGATTTTTTACAAAACAACATATTTAAATAATGGCGTGGTTGGAGCTTTGGAATCTCAGAGATACCATTTTTGTTTCATTTCTCTCGATATCATATCTGAAGTAACTTGACCGGACTCAAGATTACAGTGTAATTTCAAGAGGATTTCAGATATTATTTTTTCCAAAATGGAAGCTTTGAGCTTTGCAATACAATAAAATGTAGAAAATGTTTTCTCTAATAGCATTAAAATAGGCTTTTTAAAGTGCATTAGCTATTAGTGTTTTTTATTTTACATATTTATTTGAAGCTTTTACCTGATTTATTAAAAATAAAACAGTGTGTTTCAACTCCAAACTGTAAACAAAAAAAATGTGCTTAAAAATTCCTTTTTTTCAAAAATTAAACATATTTTTTACCTTGAATTTGTAAAAGATTGAATTAAATGACTACAATTCAAAATTTTGTTTTAGAAAACTTCTCGTTGAACATAATATCCCAGAATTTTTTAAACTTATAGTATTAAACTTTACAAAAAAACTATTTCAATAGCCCTGAAGTTGATTAATTATTACGAGTAATAATATCATTTTGAAAAGTTGTTCTTTGTGAAAAATCGGTTACTTTCTTGGTTTGCTCGTGAATTTCCATTAGCAAATCGAATTTCTTTTTTATAAATATTTCATTTCCTTTATGAATTTTTTACTAAAAAAGTCGTGTTTGTGTGCCCATTTTTTGCTTAAAAATGAAAGAATTTGAAATAAATTTTCTCATCGTCATTATTATTTAAATCAGACATCGCGATTTTCCCTATTAAACAAAAAATTCCAGTTGTATTTTCATTTTACACTAAAACCTCTCCCCGTAAAAACCCTCGATGTTAATGCAAAGTGAGTTTTTGTTCGTCTTGAAAGAAAAATTTAATAATACTTCCAATCCCCCCTCACACGACAAAAACAAAGTCGACAATTTCAATTCGCTAGATTTCTTGCAATTACTTTTCAATTAAGTCAAGGCTGGAACCGGAAGGTATAATTTCATTCCGATATCTTCGATTTTATCACCGATCTCTGATTTACTTTTCCAATTTTCCACGACGATATTCTCGCATTTCCGGTGATTCTTAATTTGATTGCAGATCTTTGAAACAAAATTAGTATTACGTTTGAAGTGGTTGGGTGATTACATTTTTGCTTGAGCTCGGACTAATTCAGTTTTCCACGAGTTTAGACGCTTAATAATTAATTCGACTAATTCGTAAATTTAGTGATCGGAGAAACCAAAATAAAAATATTTCAATCTGAATCAAAATTTAGTCTAATCTTTGATCTAGCCATAAATATATCTCACTAAGTGACGCAAAAATGTTATTTTTGGACAATTTAATCTAAATGCAAATTTATTTTTTGATGCGATGGCAAAACAGAATTATTAAATTAAAACTGCACAAATCACTCATTTCAAAACAGGCGAACATTGAGTCGTTTGTTGCAAAATAAAACAAATTTATTTTTAATCAATAATCGACAATTTATACTGTATACTGAAATAACAAAATAAAAACCAATTCAAAAAGTGAATTAAATTAGATTTTTTCTAATTAATTTTTATTTTATTCAAAGCCTATTTTGTTCTCGCTTAAAAATCAGTAATCGTTGTTCCTGAAACATTGATAAACTAATATTAAAAAGCACAAAGTTTCCATTCTGATTAAAATTTAATTATCATGAACGTTCTTCGTTTTTTTGTAATTAACAAAATCTCCCGAAAACTTACAACAAACCAGGTGCAAGTTTGTTAATTAAAATTCAACGTCAAGAAGAAAAGAAACATTAAGAGGTCAGCAGTACAGTGCAGGGCGCGTCTGTTTTGACCGTAGTATATTCTCTACTTAAAAAGCCAGTACGAGCTGAAAGCTTTTACTTTGTAAAACAGCAACAGACCGAAACGTATGTGACAGGCGGAGGGAAAAGCTCAATTAAATGAGACTTGGCGGCATTTATGAAATATTAAACAAACACGCATTATGCAGCTTGTATGAGCTCAAATACCTGACTTTATTAGAGCAGCGAAAGTTCCAAGGGAGTAAAAGGGATTCAGCAAGCTTTCACCACGAAGAAATTTGAAACGGAGAAGGTTTCTACTTTTAAAATTTAACCCAAAAGTGGCGCCATATCAAAAGGGGAATACAGTCGTACCGGGTTAACTAACTTGCAACAATTTCATTAGAGTTGAAAGCAAGTACTAGCTTTCGTTTGTTTTAAATGATTTTAGTTACGTCTTTTGTAATAAAGATAACTTTGTTGTGTAATTGTAACTTTTGGTTCTTTAGCCTCCGATTTTTGTCGATCTTTTCATAGGCATTATGACATTGATCTAATTTAATTTTTTCAGATTGTCTTTGTTTACAGAATTTTTTTTATGCGATTATTGCATATACCTATTGAAAAAACACAAATAAAAAATTAATCATAGTGAAACATATTTAAGTATTAATATTTTGAGATCAAAAGAGTGATTGAGAAACAAAATCATAGAAGTTTAAATAAAAACAATAAAAAAAACTGCAATAGACAAATTAATGATTGTCCACATTTTAACAAGTCTTAAATTTGAGAATATCTTAATTATTAGGCTTTTAATTTAACTGATTATTTTAAACCAGATACTTTTTTATTTGTTTGGTGGTTTAAAGCCCGATTTTCTGAAAAACTTCTGTTGACATTTATTTTAACTTAATTTAATTAATTAAACTTTTTTAGAATTTTTGTCTTTATTTATAGCAAATATGTAAAAAAAAATAAACCTGTTAGTTTTGTACTGTTTTTTTACAACTATCTTTAGTAGCTCGATATTTTGAAAAGCATTTCCTGACTGATATTTTTGAAATTTCAGAATTTCTTTAATTTTTTTGTTTTGCTAAAAACTTTTAAAAAATGATTAAGTTAACATTGCTGCATATAGGGTGCGTCAGAACTCGCGCCCCAGAGAAAATTTTCAAGTAAGATAAGCTACCAGGAACATGGAAAACATGTTTAAAAAATTCCAACAGAAATAAATAGATTCAAAGTGCAAAATTTAAACCCTCATAATTTCGAAATTTTCATAGATAGAATTTTTTTTCATTTCATTTTTTCCATGATCCTGGTATCTTACCTTATATGGCATTTTTCTCTGGGGCGCGAGTTCTGACGCACCCTGTATAGTTTTTAAATCTTTTCAAACTGTTTTGCAGCTCAATATTTTAATATTTCAAAGTTTCACTGACTAAATTTCTTCTCATTTGACTTGATTTAGTGTATAAATAAAGAACATCTTTTTTTGAAAACCGATTCTTAAAAAATCTTCTTTTATAGTCGTTCCCAAAAGCTATTTTACAAACTCATTTATGTCCTTAAAACGAGGTATTTTCGGACTCAATAATAAAATACCTAAAATAGTTACTTTAGGTAAAAGTACTTAAAATACTGTTTTTCCTATAAGTACGCTCCCAAAAACACCTATTTTACGGACTCATTTAAGTTCTTAAAATGAGTTTTTTTTTTGTAATTTGCCTCCATGTCGATTCTCTAATAGACATATTAAAGAACGCGAGGTCATCAGTTGCGATGTCTTAATAGTCAAAAGGTTTTAAAATGAAGACATTACCAAACGTAGCAACAATCCCTAATAAATCGATTAAAGTATAAAAAATTGTTTAAAAACGGCATAAAAAAAGCAATTTACAAAAAAAAAATAGTATAAAAGACTCGTTTCATAAGACCTTAAAGCTCTCATTCGTAGCTACGCCACTGGTTTTTTAAACTTGAATTCGTGCTTCAAGATGGTCTTATAAAACTTGTTCTTTAATATACTATTTTCGAACACAATAAAATATTACCGGAAATAGTAATTTATATTATATTTTTTACTAAAAAAACACACAAAAACACTATTTTAAGTACTGTTTTATATTTTCAACTATTATTTTCAAAAAATTAATCAACATAATAAAAGGTTTGAATGTGTTTTTCGAAGTTTTAACAAAAAAATATTGTTTGTAACATGTGTCCAAAAAGTTTTGCAGACTTATCTGCTACTTTAGACTCGGCTTCGCCTCGTCCGGAAACTTCAACAATTTTTCCGCAAAAACTGTATTACTAAATTACTAAATTTGCACCTTAAAACATCTTGTTTCGCTCATTTTTATGTGTTCATTTTTTTTATTTTTTTTCAAAATTATTGTATATTACATACTTACATTAGATTAAATAAAAACTTTGCTAATAAATCTAAACAATAAAAATATAAAAGAGTATACAATGTGACCCAAAATTCGTAATATATCATTATAAAAACACAAGAAACGTCGAATAAATGTTAAAAAAACTTGCCATAATAATATGTAAATTTTTATTTTTATTTAATTTTAAGACTTAACATTTTATTCCTGTTCAAAATAGTGATGAAAAACAAATTCATATTTCTAAAGTTTTGCTTAAGAGAAAGCATTTAAAAAAATTAAAAACAAAAAATGCAATTTTCAGTTTTTTTTCTAGATGAACGGGAACGTTGTAACACATACAGGCTGCGCCAGAACTCGCGCCCCATAGAAAAATGCCATATAAGATAAGATACCAGGAATGGAAATAATGTTAAAAGTTATGAGGGCTTAAAATTTGCACTATGACTCTATTTATTTCTGTTGGAAAAATAATTATTATAATAACAAGTTTTTTTGCTATAGGCTATTAGAAGAAGAAACAAGGAAGCTGTATCCTAAATTGTAACTCTGTTCAATGTTATTTGTGGCTTTTATTGGCAAAATTTTTGTCCCTTTACTAAATAATTGTAAAAAAACATATACAAGATCATTAGTATCATTAA